GTTTCGGTGTTTGTCGTGTTTATGCGTGATTAAAAAAAAATTGGATGTGCTGTGCTTCCTGCAAAATGGGTTTAAAAATCTGACGCGGTAAAATGTGCACCAAAGTGGATATCACGTAGTGGATTACGAAAGTAAACACGACTTCTAACCTTATGCTAAAGCGAAAAGTAAACTTGAAAACAGCAAATACACATGTAGAGTATGTAAACATGTTTGCAAAAGTCTTGACTGTGAAAATTCTTGGATTTGAAAAATCGTCTCAGTTGTATTTACAGTGAGAGACATGAGATATTTAAGATGTAAATTTTATTATATTTGGTCGAGAAATCTGCTTTTTGTAAGTGCAAACGTCATGTATATTGGGGTAAGGTAGGTCAAACCAATTCATCTTGTGGAATATTGACATCACGGACGAAAAATCACGTGTACTTTTAAATTAGTTCTGGCAGAGATCTACGTGAATCGGCTAAGGCGTCATGCTCCAGCATTCTATCGGCCTCGTTTGAGTATAGGTTTTTACTTAAGATGCATAAGTTATATCATAATCTTATAAGAGACAAAGAGCTTCGCATATTTCACAAATATGTCCAGTAGATAAGATTTCAAAATATCTGTAGTTTTTTTTATGTATTTGAATTAAACGGCTCATTTTCGTTTGCTGTTGCAGAAAGCCACTGTACAGAACGCATGTTTGAATTCCTCTTCTTGCACGTAATTTTCTTCTGTTTTTTTTTAAATTATAATAATACAACCGAGAGGTTAGATAGTGTTAGAATACTGCACGGGTGACGAGGAATTTCACACATGTGCGCATTTTTATGAGTGAAATACTTAGTGGATACATGGCACCATTGCTGTTCAAGTTTCACTCGAATCTCACTGAAGTCGCCCGCCGAACTGGTCTGCGTTGGACACATTGATGATATGGGACTGATTTCAGCTATCAGGAATATTGCAGATGTTTCAAGCCTCAGCTTTTATAAGGTACAGTCATGAATCGAGCTCAATGGCTTGAAGGTCAACAGTAGAGAGAGCCTTGAAATGACATGTCATGAAAGAAACCGGGTCAAAAAGATTCTTTTTCAGCAGCCAAACAAAGAACAGCTGTTGAGAACAAACTGATTCAAAACCCTCGCGTTGTTAAATCCCTAGAGGTTCACTTAAACGGTTGTCTTGACTATTCTAATTAGGTGAATTTCCCGTTCACCAGTGTGCGCAAACGCTTCTTTCCTCTCATGAGATTGTTGAAACTTTCGATAGCACCCTCCAGTGAGATTGTTGGTCTTTTCTTCTTTATTTGCCGAGTGTGGATTATTATCTCTATCGGCCTGTACTTTAACTGATCCTCTGCGAAAGAATTTTCGTATTCCAAGTGGAATTGTCGTGCGTATTTCTCGTGTACTAAAATCGATCTGAAGGAGATCGTTCACGAGTGGTGTTTTCTATAGTCTGTGCAGCTCGGCGACTTGGTAATTCGTTGTTGGCGGATGAAGTCATTCTTTGTATGTAAAGTTTAAACGAGGAGTCTCTGCATACAGCTACCATAAGCAAAGTCACCGCATTCCAAGACGAACTGAGGTTTGCCACAGATCCGTCCATGTCACATTTTTTGTGTACGAGGCTAATAAATCCGGAGGAATAGAAACGGATCATTGTACAAAGCTTGCAGTCTCAAGATCCCAGACATTAGGTTCTTTAATTGTTACGATGTGTATTATGCTTTACAGCAATACTACTGTATATTGATGGCAGACATTTTCGCTTAAGCGAATAGACTTCTTTCCGTTTTAGTTCTTCCTCTTAAAAAATTTGTGAATTCATAATCTTAAATTTTTAATGTGCTTTCTGTGAGGATAATGCTTTAGGCATTCTGCTGTAGCAAAGGTTTCATCGTTGCTAAGTCAAGGATGTTGGAAACTGCGGTCTATCAGGTGAATTGGGGTAACCGGCACTGTGTTGGCATTGGTCAGATAACGTAGTTCTTGGAAAGGCGGAATCGTCCTTCAGATAACAACTGCTATCCGGAGTAATACCATGCTGCTATACTCTGGCTTAGCCGCTCAAGTGCTTGAAAACTGTCATGAGTTTAAGATCAACATCATCGATAGCTCACAGCCTTCTTGATAGAACGAAGCGGCTCCAGTTTTAGTGCTTACATGGCTTCGTTGTCCAAACTGTGATCTGTGATGGATGCAAAATATCTCAGATGACATTTTCAGGGTTATCCGTTATATAGATTATTAGGTTACTTGCTACTTCAAAAAATGAGACGCTTTTAACTGCATTATCATGCATGTTTGTATATTATTCCACATTGGTAATGGTCCAAACACTTGTGAACTAAGTAAAAGTTGTTTTATGTACCGCCTTGTGTTGCTTATCATTAAACCGAATGCAAATGCCGTCTATAAAGCTGTTGGTATTTTGATTTTTAAATTCTTCTGAATCATATAACATGGTATTGTTATATGTTGTTAATAATTTCATCACTGTATTTGCCATTGAGCTGATTGCCAAGCTTGATTCGTATAAAAAGATATAACTTTTTTTGCGCTGCTTGTTCTATTCATTGTTTTATTACTTCTAGAAATAACTGAACGAACGGGTGACCTTGCAAAGTTGACAGACATCGAAAAGCTAACCAAAAGGCCAAAGCAAACCCGGGAGGAAAAGATCGAAGGAGTGGTAAGCGGGCGTGAAGGGCGTTCAAAATTCGGGAAGCCTAAGGCAAACGGACCTCATGTTGGCCGGAACAAGGCAAATCTGGCCAGGAATAAAGTGTTTTTAATGGTGAAGCATGGAAAGGCAACCAGGAAAAAAAAGAACCGTTCGTTTCGGGATCAACAACGGGCTTTAGTTAATTACATGAGGCACTGTCAAAGACGAGCAGGGAAATAACACTCGTTAAGTGTTGATTAAAAGTTTGTCTTTTATTGTTTTTGTTTTTTTTATTATAGAAAATGAATAAAATTGATCAACGATACTTTTCGTTTTGGGACCTACTTAAGTTCCAGCTGAACTGAATACTATCGTTTTCTTTTAAACCGTAAACGTTACAATGCCCAGTGGTGCTTTTTCTGAATTGATATAGGTTATGATCCGTAATCCTTCCACTCATATTTAGAATTTTTTGTAGATCTTTCTAAAATGCAGTTAGACGCATGCTGTAAGCTTGTCTTTAGTAAGGCCGCTCATTTGTAACAAAATTGCTTGTTTGAAATTTCTAAGTAAAACTGAACTGCCTGCACTTGTCTTCCGAACGTCCTTTGTAGCCTGTGCTTGAATCTCTAAGGTGCCATACGTAAAAAAATACTTGCCGCCTTGAATGGTGGCTAATTTTATTTGCAATAATTTAAAAAGAATTAAACCCCAAGAGAGACTTCTGTTTTTGGAATGGACGAGATTAGCCAAATGAGATAAATGCAACAACGTTTGCTCAAAGTTCAAATTTCACAATGATCACAGAGACGCATGAGAACAGCTGTTCATCGCAGAAAACCAGTTTCGGCCGCTAGTCCCCTGGACCGAATTTTCAAATTTCATAAAGGATTCAAGATATGATGTCCGAGGAACGTTTTTCGAACAAATCTATTTTTCAGATGTTTTAGTACCGATTTCAATCAATTTTGAAATCACATTTGATCTGGTGGATTATGATGTGACGCTAGCAATCCCTAAATGCTGTGGAATATGAAATATTTCATGTTCGTTGTCTACAAAACTCAAAATTTGTTCCAGTCGCAATAGTATTATTAATTATTTATTTCACCGAAAACATGCACGTCCTCTAATAGACATTGTTATAAACTTCCTAATTCGAAATTGTACTTATCATAATAAAGGCTAAGGTCCCTTTCTAGAAGCGAGTCATCACTGGAACAGTCCGGTAGACATATTCCTGAATTGGAGAACTTTGATGTAGAATTAATTCACCATTCTCTTCCGGTTTTGACTCTGTACTGGATGCATCCCCGAAACTGCCGTAAAACTTGTGAAATGCTTTACCACCGCTGTCAACGTAATAATTCAAAAGATACGTAAAAACTATTGAGTCTTCTGTTTAAGAAACTGATTCTACAAGAGTAAGAGACCTTCAGTGTGATGCATTGCTTCAATTACGTTGTGGCGACACCTATATTGAGAATTGTTTCAAATGAATTTCAAATACAAGAAACAGGCATCTATTGTTTTCATAGGCAGAGAACACGAATAAGTAGTTGCAGAGCACAACAGCACTGAGAACCATGTTATTTCGTGGGACTGGCTGACAAATTTAAATGGTGTGAGCACGCGGTGTGGGATACGATTTCCTTAAATCTGAATCGCCTTTCTGTATAAATAATTTAATGGCTGTTTTTAAGAATATACTATTCTTAATGAAAATACTATCTTTTTAAATTTTGTTCGAGCAAGATTACTTAAACCTTAATTTAAAATTTAAACAGAAACGACTCGTTTTACCAATATAATTTTCAATATAACAGTTGTGTTGTATTGAAAACAAGACGATCTTTGAAGTGTACCTGCAGTTATTTTATTTTACTGTAGTAATGTGTTTCAAATCTTACCTCCAACTATTTAGTTAAGAGTCTGAATATCGCTTATAATGTCGCTTTGAATAGTTACGGATGGATTTGTCTAGTAAATATGAAAGAATTTAGTATCTAATTCTGTAAGATAAATGTGCTAAGATAAAAAAAACTGCCATACTAGCTGTTTTCAACGGATTTTTTAGTAAGTTTCTCATTTCTGAGGAAAATATGATTTGTACGTCCTCGGTTTAAAATGGCACGTGTGCGTTATTCATAGTCGTTTATTTCCTCGTTTTCAATTTTTTACAGGTACACTGATTGTTTTGTGTCATGAATGATTGTCATGAATATTACAAAGAGATGCGACACAGCATATTTGTTTGATTTTGTGTGATTTCTAGGTTTCTTATGTTAGCATATATTTGACTTTATAGGTAGCTGTAAGTAAAATTAAATTGTGCACCAATTATGGTTCTCGTAACCAACTTGCCGCCTCCTACGGAAGGCCGTTGTGTGAAACAGACAGAAACTCGGGCCGTCATCGGAGATCGCGATCTCGGACCTGGCTGCCTTTATGTGAGCGAAAGGTAACACGATCTCGTCCGAGAGATGCCACTGTTGTTTCCACGTATTTTAACCGCTTTACCCATTTTCAGTCGAGTTGTGTGGATCGGGGATCATGGAAATGGATTTTCGTTGGAATATCAAGCGATTGCTTTGCACGCTCTGTCCAGGGATTTGTCGAACTTTCCTGAGGAATGTTTGTACCTCATGATAGACGTAGACATTGGCGGTATGTGTCGTGTATCGTAGCCCTGCGGAGGTTACAAAAGTTCACTTTGGTGTTCGTTAAAGGCGAAAGATTTATTCAGGTTCGAAAGAGATAGATTTTGGCCTTGAATTGAGCAGCCGCCTTTCCGCTGCTTGCAGCTTGGAGCTGAACCCGACGCAGGGCTGCAGTACCTTGGTGACATCACGTCATCTCGATAACCAAAGTATCTTTTCGGTTCAGTTAAATTTTATGTCCACCGCAGAGAATGTTTTTCGTTGATGCTTGCCGTTTTGTGATGAGTTCCCTGGTCGTATGATGAATCTGCTTAGACCTAGTCATTTCTGCTTGAAGAAACTCTGTTTAAGTCAATTTAAAATTATTGTATTTTAATTTTTTGTGTATAAATCGTTGATATTTTCAAAACGAATTCACGCTTACTAGCGCCTGTGGATTAGCTGTGCTTCAGCAACATCGTCATGTTCTCTCACAGCAGAAGAACGTCTCAGTATGCCTAGTATTACTCGTAGGATTACCAGGCTAGTGAGCAGGGTAACCCCAATAATTAATTATGTGCATTGATTTGCCTGATTATAAGCATCCATTTAACCTATTGGTGCGAACGAGGAAAGCTATTCGTGAACTGCAGACCACATCTTGGAAAGATCTATGTTAAGAACAAGTGGAAAAGTTAGAAAGACGAACATGTGGATAAGAGCTGACGAAGAGTCTGTAATATCAATTATACACGTGTAGAAGTTAAAGGACGCGTTGAAGGAAAACGTCCATCGTTAGAATGCGTTCCAGGAGAGAGTATTCTGCCCCTTTGAACACACCCAGATCGATGACAGGATCATGTGAATAAGTCCATGGATAAACAAGGATCAGATTCACAAAAAGCAGTTTATGACAAAGTCTTAAAGAGATCTTCTAGCAGTGAGTCGAAGAAAGCTGACGATGATGATTAAATTAGAGGAACCTAAATTTAATCGAAAGTTCCCACTCGTGAAGTCTACTACTGGACATCGGGGTTATGTTTTTGATTTGAACCTAAATTTAGTTCGCTACTTTTCTACCTAAGTGAAAGTGATCAGTCGTCTAATGAGGGACGTTGAGAACAAGAAAATCTGAAATACCTGCATATGCAGCT